TTGTGAGGCCGTGTGGACTGGGACACCGAGGGGAGGGGGTTGACTATCGTGACAGAGGGGGGGCGGCTCCCTGGCTCCGTGCTGCTGCGAGGACAGGGACATTGGGGGGGCGACTATCGCGACAGAGGTGGCAGGGAGCGGCTTCGAGCTCCACGAGGCGGCGGAGACAGGAACACCGGTGATAGGGGCGACTCGCGACAGAGCGCGGGCCCAGGGCGGTGCCGCCTCAGCCCGGCCGTGCGGAGGGGCGGGCCGGCCCCGCCGGGTCGGGGGTGTCGGTGCCGCGGCCCGTGGTGGGGCGGGACCCGCGATCCCGGTGATCCCGGAGGGGCGGAGGGGCGGAGGCCGGAGCGGGCGCGGGGGGCGCGGCCGGAGGCGGTGGCGCCTGGCGGGGCTGCGGCACCGACACCGGCACCGGTGTCCGAGCGGGGCCCGGGGGCGGTGGAACCGAGCCCGGGCAGCGGCCGCCCCTTGCCCCCGTACCCGGGGGGCTGTGCCGAGCCCGGTGCCCCCCGAGAGCCGCCCTTCCAGCGGCCGCAGTTGCCATCGCGCAGTTCCCGCACGGCTCCGGTGGCCCCGCTGGTCCCCCCGCACTTCCGCGGCCGTGCCGAGCTCTGCAGCTGCTTGGGAGAGGACCCAAAGCAGCACGCGAGGTATCTCTAATCTTAACCTGTCCTCTGCTGTCGTGAGCCCCAAGGTGCTTTCCCGTGCTTCACTGACTGTACTGTACCTCTTACAGCCTTTCCTCATCTAACCAAGGTGGTTTCCTATTTTCCTGTGCTAGAGGAGATTGTACTTCAGCGTTGGGTTATTCTCTGTTCAATTCCCGTGTCTGGAATTGTGATCTGAAGGGGTCTGTTCAGATTAAGGCTTTTGGAATGGGAAGTTTTCAGGCAAAAAATCAGTCATGCAAGTGTTGCTCTGCAGAGGTAGTGGCTGCAGCAGGCAACAGGCATGAATGAAGAAATTAGAAAATAGCTTTTTTTCATGGAAATTGGCACCTTTGGAGCCCTTATACAGCAAGAGAATAGGTTAGAGAAAGCAAGGGAAATTAAAGGTGTCACATACAATCCCACTGAAACCACGTGAGCTTTAGAGAGCTCACAAGCTCATTTTTTGGGTAGCAAAATATTATCAGGAATATGCTGACAGTTCTTGGTGCTGAAGTGTAGCGTTTATATTTGTGTTCTGTGAAGGCTGTACTGGTTCTTCCCTCAGGCAGCGCTGCTGGACATGACTCAGTTAATCTGAAGACACAGGATACCGATTTGTTGGTTCATGTATAATATTTGTTCTTGTGCTTAAGTGCTAAAAACACCTTTCATGTAATTGTTCCTTCATTTTCTTAAACACCTTTTGCTATTCGTTAAATTTTAATAAAGACTCGAGTTTCTTTGCATGTATTTTTAACATAATTGATTTGTGTCAATCTGGCTAAAAAAGGTAAAGGTACCCGGACACCTCATGGGTGCAGATCCCTTGGCATGTGCAGTTGCATGAACTATCAGACACCTGAAAATCTCCAGCAAGGTTCAGGTAATGTAATGGTGCTGAATCAGGAATTTAGGAGATTTCCCTGTCCCTGACAAGGAATCAAAAGTAAACCCCTTGTGTTGAGAAGTCACTGCATGGAAGTGCTTAGTGAGGGTGGCACAAGTTCAGTCAGTCCATGGGTTTGTAGGGGTGGGAGGGTCTTTTATATCTCTGATATCCAGGGAAAATTGTCAGTCCATAGTTCTCCTGTAGAGATTGCTCCCACCCCTCTGGCAATCTCAGCCTGATCCCTCAGGACTGTGGGATTTTCCACGGAAGAGGCACAGGAGCATCCTCTGTCAGAGCACAGGGATGGCCGAGCTCTCGTTCCCGGCTCTGGATGGGCTGCAATTGCCACATCTGTGAGTCCTTCCTGATATCAGTGCAGTCACCTGACTGATTGTAACTGAGCTGGCAGAAGATGAGAGTATTTTCCTGTGAGTCTATTGAAAATTGGTGGTTAGAGTCACCACTCAAAGGCTTCCCTCCAGCACGGCAAGGAGAGCTCAGCCTCCCACCCCTGTCAGTCAGGTGGCAAATAATCACCTATTTCTGCCTGGGTAACCAGCGTGTGCAGTGACTGAGCAAGGAGGGGACTATTTGTTGGTTTTTTTTTTTTTCTTTTAAAAGAAATCATGGTGTGTGTACTATTAATGATTTGTGCCATTTACTGAATCCACGGGGATTATTTGTTCACCCAGGGGAAACAGGGTTCATGCTTTGGCAGTCAGTGGTTTCCAGAAGCTGGTGATTGAAATGGGTGTCCCAGGTGGTTGTTTGAATTGGAGATGTTTGTTTTGTTACGTAACTTGAGAATTTCGCATGTGCTTCATCTTCAGCCTTGTATTAAACTTGATTTGAAATCAAATTACATTTTTCGTAGAAAATGTAAATAAACCATGTATTATGTTTCCAGATATGAAGGGAAAATAAAAACTTCATGTTGTCTCCACAAAAGGCACTGGCGGAAAGAGAAGCAGCAGGTTGTCTGCACAGGCTGTGCTGATCACTGTCTATTTTAAATGAGTGTCAGGGACACACTTTAAGGATTTGGGATATGCCCTAATCTCAGTCTCTACGGAAAATCTCACCGGTTAAGAAAAGCAAGGTCACCAAGGAGTACAAATAATGTACTATGGGAGGGTTGGCGTCACATTTGTCATATGCTCATTATTCAGCAGGGAGAGTGAAATTTTGGGTTAAGCACTCCTGTTATTTTCTTGTTCTTCGTTACGTCTCATCTCCTGCCTTTCACACGTGCTTGCCCTGCACCTTCCAGCCCTCCCAGCGCTGTATTCCCAGTGCTGGAGTCCCAGGGAGCAGTGTCTGTGCAGCACAGCCATTTTGAGCTGCTGCTCCTGAGCCATTGTTTTCCTCCAGAGAGATCCCTGAATACATTACACACGGCCACTACCAGATTAGCAACTGCTTTGTTGAATTTGCAGCTATCTGTTGAAAGATAATGTAATCTAAAGTCAGGAAGCAAGAAAGTTGCCGTTTATGCTGTGGTAACAAATTAGCTATTCTGGTTTTGTTTTCATGGACACTTGCAGCATTTCCCCAGCTGTTTCTGAACAAGGTGACTTGAGTTTACCAAGCAAGATCTGCTGTCACTTAATAATAACACCTGTTGTCTGCCTTTTGTCTTCTTTTCCTTCCACTTATTTTTGTCCCTGATCCATATGTTGTGCTTTAAATGAGGAAGATCCTAGTTTTGTTTAAGACAGCAAGGCAGAGCTGCGGGTTTGTAACACAATGAAAACACCAGGTAGGAAGAGCTGTGCTGGGGAAAACCACTGCCTGGCTGGGCTCAGGCACTTCGTTCTGCATTTGCATATGAAAGATTCTGGTAACAATTTAGCTGAATCAAAAGGGCAGGTAGCAGGTGAAACAGGCAGATTTCTGGCAGGTGTTTGTAAGCATTTTTTGGGCAGGTTTCTGGCAGGTGTCTGTAAATGACGGGTTGTTCGAGCTCCCGCCGGCACAGCTCATACCCAGCTCTTACCCTCGTTATTTACTCTCCCTGGCACTGCACCTGCTCGTTCTCAAGCTCCCTGCCCGTGAAGCTTCCTTGGGCGCCCTGGAACACTCCTCTCCCCTCGGCGGGTGCCGGGCATGCTCTGGGTTTGGGGCAGCAGCAGAAACGTGACCCGCAGTGCTGGGCGAGGCCTCCTGCACAGAGCAGGGTGCTTCTTGTCCTCGGACCCTCTCAC